ATTCCTTTTTTTTTTTTTTTTTTTTGGTCTCTCATTTATATATATCTATGTTGGTTTCTGTAGTGTCATCCGTCACATCCCGTTAGAATCAATAGATCCTTCTCTAGCAATCGGGTTTTATTGTCGAGACAAAGGTTTGCACACCACTCTAGCTGCATCATTGTGGATGGGAACTTGATTGAAGCGTATCATTTTGTAGAACTTAATCTTGGTTTCTTTTCTTTTCTGGGGCCAGATGATTTTGATGACTTCTGTTATCGGGCATCAAAGTTAGCAGGCGACTCATACGGAGCTCCATTATTCACAGTTGCTGAAACACATTCCTCAAATTCAGTGAGACACGGCAATGCATTGAATGATGGTAGTAGATTAGTAGTGGACAATGCCGATGTGCACGTGCCAGACGACGAAGGGGCGCAGGAGGATGACTGGCAATTACTCTGATGAAAAAACAAAGAACACCTTGGGGAATCTGGGATCGTTGAATTCTGGCTAATATGACTGAATAGATGGGAAGGGTATGCCTAATATGTCAATTGTTTTAGTTTATTTAGTGTTACTTGTGCCAAATGCATTAAGCCAATTTAGGTTTTTATTTGTTGAATTTGTTTATTCTTGGTTCATTTTCGGATGAGGTTAGCCTACATTCGTGTGTATGTGTATAATAAGCAGGTTCAATTCCAATTCATAATGAATTATTAATGCTCTGATTACTTAGAAAACTAGGAAAATTATGTATAATGTCTTCTTTTTTTAGTTCATGAAACAGGAAAGGCCTGGAAATTTTGACCTTTTAGGGGTTGGTGGAAGGTTTTGCATTGTCTAAGAATCAGGCAACTGCAGTTGCATGTGAATGCTATCAGAATTTCATGCATATTCCATGTTCCATTGTTCCATTGTTCCATTGTTCCATTGTTCCATTGTGTTGGCTAATAAATCTTAAATATGCAAATATTTGGATCACATAATTCAATAATTGTTTGTAGTTGCAACATGGCAAAACAAGTCTTAGAGGCAATCATTCTTTCACCAATTGGCTGTGTTGAGGAAAACTGATGGTTGAATAATAGTACAATGTTAGCCTAAACGAGAATTTGGAAGGGAGTTCTGAGCCATAGAGGAAGGGTTGGTCGGGGGAGAGAGACTTGGGGGAAGGGGTTGTGAGAGGAATGGGTTTTTCTCAACAAAATTAATAGTAATTTTTATTTATTTATTTATTTATTTTACCTTGACCTTTAATCTTGTCCCGAATCTTAAGGTATTTCATACCCAAATCTATGAGTTGGACGTCTTGCTTTCTGCGACACCAACTCTCTATCTTTCTAAGGCCAGTCTCTTGACTATAACTCAGCAACCTCATCTTGTAGGGTTAAACATTCCTTCTTTAATGCCCTATGACATTATCATAAGTAAACATCTAAGTTATGCAGCCTAATTCATACCTCAAGTTCATACATAGATGTAACCTTTCATATACTACTTTATAGGTCTATACTACATACCTGGTCATGACGGGGCATGTCCTCAAGCGGAATCACAAGAGGTGTATGACTCTCTACCTACACCAATCTATAGGACTTAAAATCCAACTACTCTGGTACCAATTTATCATGATCCAATTTTGTGGGGATTATATCTAAAAAGACGAGACAAATAAAATAGGGTAAAATTTTGGCAATTTAAAACCTACATCATATTTAAAAAAACAATTGAAATCTAATACAAGCGGATGTTGCTCCAGTTTACTACACATGGAATGAGTAATGGATACAATTTCAAACAAAACATAAAAAAAAAAACAAAAAAACAATACACACATAGGGTTGACACCCTAAAACAATCCCGATTGCGTAGTTCTTGAACACATTGTCATCTCCGCCAGGGGTTAACAGTCACCTGAAAAATAAATAAAGAATAGGGTGAGTATAAAAATACTCGATAAACAACTTACTTGTAGGCTCTCATCAATTTCTTCTAAGTTACTACGAGATTTTCTAGGCTCTTGAAAATTCGAGCCTATCTCTATAGCTATTTGAGTCTTAGGAGAGACCTTATAGTTCTGAGCAGTTCTTTGATCTAATTCTTACCCCTCGAGGTATTTGTAGGTTGCTAAACCTTTATGTATTTCGACTCAGGTAATTTGTTTTACCTTGACAGTGAATGATTGATATCTTGGATTGAGGTATGACCTCATCATATCTCATGGGATTGTATGACGCCTCTTTACATATCGCAGCTAACTTTACATTAACATTGCTAATGTAAAGTTAGCTGCGACTCTTCCATAGGAACCACCATATAGTAAAATTAAATGAGGGAGTGGCCTCTTGTGCCAGCCAGCTACTAGTCTACTTATGTGTTCCCTCGTCCCCTCTTAAGGTGAGTTTACAGGGTAGTGATCTTGTTCAAGGATCCCCTGACTATCTCCACACACGATAATGACTCTCCTCTCCAGTAATACTACCTATATTAGTTCCTCTCCCCTCTCAAAATGGTTTTACGAAATCACTATCTAGGCTATCAACCTGTCTTTATAAACTATAACAACTTCTCATACCGTCATAACGTGCCATCCTATTTGACCTTAGTTGAGCTTGACAGTACAAGTGTAACGACCCGAAATTTTCTACTTAATTTAAGGTCGCTACTGTATACGTACCATAAACATTGAATGCGGAAGACTTCATTGAAACTCCATAAAACATAACTTTTATCTTAAAATACAGCCATGGATTTACGTATTTCAAAAACATCTTTAAAACAACACAACAAAAGACTAAATAAAACGTTTAAGTTGAAAACAGTCTAAGAAAATAAATATCACTATCCTATGCATGTGCCATGGTCTCGAGTTGCGATGTCGTCGTCAGCCGTACAGAAATGCCTTGCGTTAACCTGAAAAATGTAGTAGCACATAGCTTGAGTATTTAAAGAAATACTCAGTAAGTGACCCCACTATTGAGGTTAAATGTAACAATCACATGCAATGAGATGATGAGACCTATCTTTCATTCCGTTTTTTCTATGGTGCTGTCCTAACGGATAATTTTGGACGTGTACCATATACTCTACACACAACCCATACGTGCGAGTATGGGCTCACCAGCTAGTTCGCACACCGCTGGGCCACCTTCCTTATCCAGTGGGCATACTCTGGGAGCCCCTTAGGTCGGACACCCGCTAGAACTAGTAACCGTCACGGAAGCGCTATGCAAAGCATAACGATCGTTGTCCTGCCATCGGATGTACGTGTCCATACCCTCGTGATGGGATAGGGGTATCCCCAAATGCATGAGCACACATAATGCATGAGGTCCCAAAACTTTTCCATTTTCATTATCCTTTAGTACAACCCCGCTAGCATTATGTACATATCATATCCTTTTTTATATCGTTTCAGATATCGTTCATCATTCATGTCATGTCATATCCTTTCTCATTTTTCAGTTCTCAAATCATACATAGTTCTAATGAGGTTATATTTCATGCCATTTATCGTAATTCCATGTCATTCGTATCATGCTGTATACACACAATTTAAGAGACCTAACATAACGTTCTATGCTTTTAACATAACATTTCATCATATACACATCATACCATGACATATTGCATCACAATGTATCACATCATAAACAAGTCATAATGTAAACACTTTATAGTCATATCGTTCTCTAACTTATCATAGTTTTAACGTTGTTATACCTATCACAGACATATCATTACATGAACGTACCTTAGTCATCTCATCACAAAAACTTAACCTAATGCTATCGTTCTATCAATCTATCACAAACTTATCCTTTCTACCCGTAACCTAACCATATTCTTCTATCAATCTCTCTTATCCATATCATTCCGGTAGGTAACCTAACCTTAACGTTTCATGAACATATTTTACTCCTATCGTTACATTTCGTTTTGTGCATCCTTCTTGTATCCTATCTCAAACATATCCTTGAATACATCGTACCGTAATTATTATTATACAATTTACATGTTATAACATATACATAACATATAAGAAGCATGTCGATCCACAGACAATTCACACATATCAATATATATGACACGTGTAGAACCACGGGGTCGTGTCAACATCAAATATAACCATGTCGATAGTAAGGTTACTTACCTGGTTAGCTTAAGTCGTTGTCACAAATATATTTTTAATGAAAGTTCGATTCCGTCCTTTGAAATTCGAGTCAACCTATATGAGCCCATGACATTAGTTTCAGGTTTGAATACTACAACATTATTTTTCTAATTTACATTAGTCCCGTTAAAAGTCTTGAAATGTTATATATATGTAATTATATTTTTATTAAAAATCTTCATGCTTACTATTGTATAAGAGGAGATACAACTATTTCAATTTATGCTGGGATTTACAACTCTCTGTGTTGTTTTTAATTCCTTAATCTTCTTTTTTTTTTATTTGTTGCCTTTTAATTATGTTCTCATGTGTTACAAATTTCTAGTGATCTCTGTTTCCAAATCTTTCCTTATCTTAGTGTCTCCTATTCAGAAGTTTTATTGGTCATTCTATTTTAATCTATTCATTTGGCTACTGATAAAAATTTAATCTAATATTTCTAATCTTACGTGATTTGCTAGAATTCATATAAATGATTGTGACATTTAGTTTCTCAAAGCTAGATCTAACTATAATTGACTGTGATTTCTATAAAAAAAAATAGGATAAAAGAAAATGAAATTTAATATATATCTTATGAATAAGATCTATTCTCAACTGGGTTAAAGGTCATTCTCATTTTTTTTTCTCTCTTGGAGTAAATCTGACAATTATTGTTTTTCTGTTTCTTTTTCAGTAACATGTAAGATGGGTTGAGGAGAGATAATTGCGGGAAGGGATGAAAGTTAGTGGAGAGGAGTGGAGAAATGTTGTTTGTTTGTTTTAATTATTATTATTACTAACTTTTTTTAATTATTTTTATTTCTTTATTTCTTTATTTCTTCATTTATTTTTGGGCTATTACGACAGGGGCACTGCTAGGTCCTCAAATAATACTAATGAGGTATCGGAGGGAAATAGGAAGCAGTTGAGCTCTAGTGATATCGTTCACTCTACTAATAACTTTGTAAGCCTTCTTTAGTTTCTTTGGGTGTCGTGGAGGTTTACTTAATTCTTAGGACATCTAGGTGATTTAAATCTCGAACTCACATGTTCACGACACTCAGGACTAGCTTCTCGGGCCTAATCTAATTTCTATGAGCACTTTGACCTCTAGTGCCCTATACTTAGCTTAGTACATTCGTGCATGTTTTGTTAGGGAGATAATCCTATCAATCACCTAAAGCACGAAAAAAAATTATCTAAACATTCATATAAGCTCAACAAGGAGATAACGTTCATCAATCATCTGGAACATAAATCACAATGTCTCATCCTCTTGGAAAATATTTAAAATAGCATTCATATTAGAGTCCCATCCTACGAGCATTTTAGTAATTTTCTACCTCATACATAACATTCTTATCCAAAATTCTCTTCATAGTGTCCTAATCATGCAGATTTTAATTACCCAAGGCAAAATATCCTCGTATGCTAGCATGTCCTAGCAATCCCTACAAATATTATTTGAAGAAAGTCTAAATGACTACTTACTTGGATGATGTTTGCATTCCCGAGTTTGCCTTTTCGCTTTCTGGGAGCTTTAAAATTTCTCTGCTAGGTCCCAACTCAAGTTAGAATA